TGTGTGTGTGTGTGTGTGTGTGTGTGTGTGTGTGTGTGTGTAACTGTCTGCAGTGGTCAGAGACATCAGATTCCTTTGAGCTGGAATAACAGATAATTATAAATGGCATGGCATGGGTGCTGGGAACAGAACTCAGATCCTCTATAAGAGCAGCACACACTCTTAACTACTGGGCCATCTTAACTATGGGGACACATGGTAGAAAAAAACCCTGGGTATTCTCTTATGGGACCCTGGGATACCTTTCTGTGTCAGGCTGAGAAATTTGAGTTGCAGAATGGGAAAGCAGGTATTCCTGTGCACACCTAATACTTCAATAATTATTGACCTTTCACTTTTATCCTTCCCATTCCAGGTGTTTATCAGAAAATATCTGAAATTCTCCACCATGAAAAATCTCAAACATGGAGATTTCGTATCCAGAGAGTTGAGCAGGCAAGGTCTATTTGGCTGAGAGGCTTTAAAATTCATAATGTAAAATGGCTTTCTAGTCTTTTCCACCCTCCATTCATTCTGAATGGCAACTCTCAGACTTTTCCAGATCTGAAGCACTTGATTCTCCTCTCTCCAGCTGTCCTGTAATTGTTCTTATGTGCCAGGCAGGGTTCTGGGTTCATTGGTGACAGAATAAATAGCTGATAGTAAAAAGGTGTCATGGGGGCTGGAGAGATGGCTCAGGGGTTAAAAACACTGGTTGTTCTTGCAGAAGTCCCAGGTTCGAATCCCAGAACCCACATGGCCGCTAACAACTGTCTGTAACTCCAGTCCCAGGGGATTCAGCAGCCTCTTCTGACCTCTGTGGGCATTGCACGACATGGGTGCACTTACCTACACGCAGGCAATACACGAATACACACAAAAAATAATAAGATATTTAAAACAAAAGGTGTCATGGCTGCTGAGATACTTGTACAGGGACCAGCACCACCAGGGGACCTCAAATGAGAACTAGCTCCTGCTAGAGGTGATGTGTGATTGACTAGCTCTTGGAGGTTGGGCAGAGGGTTAGGTTTTCTGAATTCTAGAGAAAGGGGCTAGAAGATGGAGGTGGGAGAAAGCACTCCAGGAAGGAAGAACAAATACAAAGAGCAAATATGTGAATGTGTGAGCCAGACCAGTATGCCAGTTCTAGTAGAGATGGAGTGTAGGATTGAGGTGAGCTTGTAGAGGTCAGGGTGTGGCAGCTCATACAACCTGAAGTATTTGAACTTCAACATGAAGATAATTGGTTCTGTTAAAGTCACAGAAGTTGGAGAAATAGCCTAATGGATATTTTAGAAAAATAAATCTGTTGAACGTGGACAGGGAACTGGAACAGATAGGCATGGGGAGCCCAGGAACTATTGCAGTTGTGGGACAAAGAATCTTGAGGATATGAATTAATATGTAATCAATGGAGATGGAAGAGGGGAAGGCACTGCCAGGGCTGTGTATGGGTATGTGCATCTGGGTCCTAGGAGCATCATATCCCAAGGCCCCAGAGTGGCTATAAGGATGAAGACTGAAAGAGGACATTGGGTTTATCTATAGGGAGAATGCACTGATTGTGACCTTGACCAGAAGAGATTTATTGCAGCAGGAACAACATAAATGGAGCAGATAGAGGAGAAGTGAATGTAGGGGACATAGGGAAGGGGAGGCCAGGGCTTTTTGGAGGAGGAACTTGGTGGGGTGATAGAAGGAGAGAAATACCAGTTAAGATGCATATGTGTGTGCACTGTGTGTGTACTTTGTGTGTGTGTGTGTACCGTGTGTGTGTGTACCATGTGTGTGTGTGTACGTGTGTGTGAGATGGAAGACACATGGGACAATTTACCCTTGCCATGCGTTTACTGCAAAGTCATCGACTCTACCTTAAGACAGCCCTGGCAATCCTTCACTGGTTGCAGGGTTATTCCCTGTTTCTAAACTTGAATCCATGGGTTTATCTTTGATTTCATTTCTCTTGATAGCTCTTTTTTGTTTCTTTGCTTGTTAGATTTTCTCTCCCCTCCTATCCCTGATGCCATCATGGTTCTCATCCTCTGACCTCCAGTCAGATTTCTTGCAAAGCACTCCTAACAAGGATTTCCCATAGCACTTCCAGAGTAGTCCTCCATGAGGATTTCCCACAATATCAGAGTAGTACTTTATAAGGATTTCCCACAATGGCAGAGTAGTCCTCCATAAGGATTTCCTACAATGGCAGAGTAGTCCTCCATAAGGATTTCCCACAATGGCAGAGTAGTCCTCCATAAGGATTTCCCACAATGGCAGAGTAGTCCTCCATAAGGATTTCCCACAATGGCAGAGTAGTCCTCCATAAGGATTTCCCACAATGGCAGAGTAGTCCTCCATAAGGATTTCCCACAATGGCAGAGTAGTCCTCCATAAGGATTTCCCACAATGGCAGAGTAGTCCTCCATAAGGATTTCCCACAATGGCAGAGTAGTCCTCCATAAGGATTTCCCACAATGGCAGAGTAGTCCTCCATAAGGATTTCCCACAATGGCAGAGTAGTCCTCCATAAGGATTTCCCACAATGGCAGAGTACTCCTCCATAAGGATTTCCCACAATGGCAGAGTAGTCCTCCATAAGGATTTCCCACAATGGCAGAGTAGTCCTCCATAAGGATTTCCCACAATGGCAGAGTACTCCTCCAT